TAATTTTCATCCATTTCCTCCACCTTACTAAATGATAGTGATTCAGGTAGCAATAAACATTTTGGGATGCCTCAAAAAAAACTAAGTAAAGCTGCTTTATTGTTTGTGAAAAGCAGCCTGGTTATGTCTACGTTCTCACAGTCATCAGGGATTCAGGGTAAGAGGTTTACAGAATGGATAGATGGGTAAATTCTCACAGTTGTTCTGTTATACAGGTATTTTGTTCTTCTGTATGGGAGACAAGAGCTCATGGTCAGCTCCAGCAGTCAGCAGTAATGTCACACTGGTATCCAGCCTGCAGAAGGCTCAGCCAATGAGAACTAATGTATCAAGATGGGATCCTGTCTTGGTTGATTTGGTTCAAGGCAGAGGAGCAACAGCAAAGACGAGTGAATTGTGGTCTGTGCGGAGGTTTTCAAACAGCACACACATTCAAACAAACAAACTGCTCCCTTCAACCTGACGAATGCCACCTGTTCATAAGAAGGTGCACGTTCATGGGATGTGATCATTAGTTTCATCAGCGACGCCAACATGTTTTATTAGGCCACAAGTTCTGCTCCATTTGTGGACCGTTGTCTGCTGCTACCTAAAAGCAGTCCAGTGATTAAAATGGGAGGGGGTCAAGTCAGCGTGACGGTCACGGCGATGGACGTCAGACGACGTTCCGTTACAGGTGAGGTTTCACTGTCAGGTAGAACAGTGGATGTTCCCATGAAACCGGCCAGCACGGAGACCATGGGACAGCTGATAGTGAGACTTTTCCAAGCAGCTGAGAAACATCACACTGACGAAAATATTTTACACTTGATTTCAGTAACATATTTAAACTCAAAGCTTGTACTGATTAAAGTTGTGCCGTTCTTAAGTCAAATTAAGGCCTTTCCTCTGTGGACAAAACAGGCCTGGGCTACTGCTGAATTCCCTTTAAAAAAATTCTAAATTAAATTGGTGAATGCCACAAATTCTCTTAAATCACTTCAGAGCAAATCTGTTTTTTATGAGTGTTTCTTGAATGAGGCCAAACATTTGTTTTTAAGGGTGTTGAATGAAGATGTTGTGTGTGTCCATGACCGTGACTGAAATATACAAATTTATAAAATAACATTTGCACATCAGCTCAGACTAGTGCAGCGGTGGAAAGTAAAATATTGTACTTTCATTTCACTACATTTGACAGCTGTAGTTACTGGTTATGTTTTAGATTGGGAGGCCTTGTGGAAAAGCTCCTTGTCATGTTTCATACTGTATGTCTAAGAGTTATTAGCAGCTCCACCATAAGAGAACTTTCCCTCATAAACATCTCAGATGGATTAATTGTAATGACTGTTAGAAGCACAAATAAGCAAACGTCTCCAATATTCAACAAAATAAAATACACAAAAATGCTAAAAAAAAATCCAAAAAGTCCAAAAATGTCTACAAATGTGATTAACAGAACTTTGTTTCCTCTTTTTTCCTACTCCAATGATCGACTCCCGACCGCTGAGATTTACTTTGTGATGCTCTGGAAGCGTTTAACTCCTGGGTTGCGAAGCACTGGGCTAAAACACTGATCTGACTAAACTGTAAAGTAGTTAAACATAGCTCCACCTCAGTCAGCTACAACAGCAAACTGCTGCTTAAACACTGATGCATGAGTATTACCAATCTAACAATTTAATATATAATTTATCTTTTCTGCAGGACAAGCACTTTTACTTTTCATATTTTAAGTATATTTTGCTGAATATTCACTCTACACATTTACTTAAACAGGACACTGGACTCCCTTCATTATCTTCCCTTGTCATTCAAACCATCATCAACAACAAACATTACAAATGCAGATGCCTGCATCCACGGCTACAACCACACTGTATGAGACGCTCCCATGTTTAAGCAGCAGGTCACCTGTTCCACTGTAACTGTGATGCAAAGCCTCACCAGAGAAGCCTCCTGTCTCCAGGTTTCCACCTTGCCTCACATATTCATTATATCCTGTACAGTGTATGGGAATACATCTGTGAACAGCTCTTCCCTTATTGGACTGTGGCCTTAGGGCCTTTGTTATGATTGGATACTTACAAAAGCCAGCCACCCCCTCCATGTGTCTCTCGTTCTAAAGGTCTGCTCCTGCATATTAAACAGTCTGGAGCGTTGCAGCAATCAAACGCAGGAACTCCTTCATCTACATTATCACCTCAGTGAATGAATTAATAAATAAATGAAGAGAATTAGCTACCTTTGAGGTGGGGTGGGGGTTAAAAGGGGGGTTGGGGGATGGGGGGTTTGAGGCTTGTCATTGTGATGAAGACAGATGATGAGGCTGCATTGCTGTAAACGAGTGAGTCAGCCCTTCCTTCAGACAGACACAGGCCTGCGGGAGGAAGAATGGTGGTGGTGGTGGGGGAAGGTGGGGTGGGGTGGGGGGTGGGGGCAGAAGGAGGGAGCCGGAGAAATGCATGGGAACTGTCCCTGGTGCTGAAATCTGGAATGGCTGCTTTCTAACAGCTTCAAGTTCAGCTCAGTGCAGGGGGGGAAAAAATCCAACATAGAGGCATGCTGTCGTTCAACTACCTGACCCACATCTGAAACAATCTGTATCACTAGTTCCTGCGGAACAGGTCAGTAATTGACCTGCTTTCCAGTGCGAGAAAAACCAAATGATGCATTTATCAATTTTCAAAACTCCACAGCAGGGGGAGTGTAATATATGCTCCAACAAAAGCTTTAGAGGCTGTCGAGTTTTTCCACTCAGATTCTGTCCTAAGTCGGTTATTTGGCATTCTGATCACAAAGCCAGGGGAGGGAGATTCTCTACCATGTAATTCTTCCTGAGCCAACTCAAAGAGATTCTCATTAAAGTACTTTTTATATCCCTAACCTCAGTTTCCAGGGACAATTGTGTTGGGTTGTCATGCTATTTGTAGACTAATCACCTCCACGCACTGCACACATACACATACACACACACACACACACACACACACTAGCCTCATCTGAACTGAATGTAAAAGAGTCTGGATCAACAGGAATTAGATATTGCATTGTGCCTTTCAGGCACCCCCACCCCACCACCACCACCACTCATATTCTTTGAAATGATTTTGTTGCATTATTCATCTTTCAAAGCTGTCATGCTTTGTGGCTGTCAGTTTGCTCAACATCACAGATGCACCATGAGATGGATCCTTACACTGCATATTGCAGACCACTGATCTAACAAGGAATTCAGCTGTATCATTTAGACACAAGGAAGGTGACAGAGCTATGTTATGTACTCATGTGACTGCCTTGAACACTACTCAACACCCAGGACAGAGGAGCACCACCGTCACCTGTCTTTTCCACATTGTCACAGCAGCTGAAACATGTAACTTTGGTCATGCAGACTTTGCAACTTGTTACCCTGGTCCTCCTTTAGAGCAGAAAGAAAAACAAAGGCTGTGGGGTTTAATGTTAATTCAATGCTTTCACTTCAGGAGTTACAGATCAGAGCCTCACTCATGGAGTCTCCTTACTTATAAATACTGTAAATTAAAAATGTTCAACTTGCAGTCAGCCAGTAATTCCTCTCAGTTTTACGTGAAAAGATTATGCAACAGGTCCAGTACTTGCAGAAGCCACCCTCAGCTATAAGGGTCATTGTTGCAACATACAGTGTTTTAGATGAGGCCAACAGGAGAATGATGTCACAAGTCCGTAAATAAGGGTCCTTTTCTCGGGCACTGCAGAGACCAGGCGGGTGTGGTGACTGCATTAGTAGACGCGCAATCCCCGGCGCAAACGCTCGCCTAAGACCATAATGTGAGCGTTGCTGTAACGGCTTAACAACCATCGCTATGACTGCCTTCTACTTGTCGGACGTGTCCTGAAGTTCAAATCTTTAATCTGCTGCCTCGAAATCAGACAAATTCGCCGACCTCGCTTCACTCTCTGACAACCACAAGGTGCCCATTCACGGCGCGCCTCCCCAAGCCCCGTGTTTGATAGAAAAATACATGCACAATGACAATCTGACATCTGCTCTCCATCTGACAACAGCTTAGTATTCTCCACAGACATCCCACTCTCTCCCTCTGAGCACCCCATGTCTTTTTTTTTTTTCTTTGTACGCCGCTTTCCCCCCTCTGTACCCCACTCTTTCTCATTCCTATGCGGCTTTTTTCGAGCCAGCTCATTTCCACACACGAACAACAGCGGAATTGAACAGCGGCTTCATAAAATATGCAGGTAAAAAAAAAAAAAAAAAGGCAACTCGGAAAGCACCGACATCTCAAGCACAACACTTTTCATGCTCTACTGAAAACTGACCTCCCAGTCTAACGAATCCCACTCTTCGGTAAACATCCGGAGGATTTCTTTTCATCCAAAAAAAGCGGACCAGGCGCAGCGGCTCTATGGAGCGACTGGGCGATGCGATGCCATTGCGCTTTTGGTATTATCCTCATGAAATCACTTTGAACGGGGGGACGTCGTCAGTGGAAGGCATCTCGGCGGCGTCGAGACCAGGTTGAGCGACACAGAAGAAGAAGAAACGCTGCTATGTTTCACAGTCCAACATTTTTGCTCGGCTGATGGTTGCAACCAATTAGCACACCACATGCGCTCGGAGGCGAATAGCTCCTGACAAGGCGCTCCTTCTCCTGAGCATCGCTTCTATTTCAGCTGCTGTGCTGCTTTTCGGGAAAAGGTGGCAGACTATACAACAACACGCAACTTCTCATTTCCAGGATATAGGGGGGAATTTAGCGTGGCGCATACTCCAAAGCCAATAAATCCCCGTAGCGCATTTGACAAATCCTTCCCCTCTGCTGAAGGGGCAACAATAAGGGAAGCTTTTAAAGGTCCCTGCATGAAGTGCTTCTTAAAACACGTGACTCCATCTATTCCGTGGTGAAAGCTGAAAGATGCATTTGATCCATAACAGGCCCTAAGCAGTGGGAGACACGTTATGTGGGGGGGCATGGGTGTGCTAAAATGAATGACACTGGTATACCACACAGTAGACTACTCACCATTAGCACAGCAAAGTTATTATGATGGGTGCAATGAATGGTGGTCGTGTTGCCCCCGGAGCCTGTTATGTGGCAGCCCTCTGCCCTCCAGCCACCGTGTCCATCCAGCAGGTCAAAATCCCAATAGGCTGCGGTGGGGTCTACACCCAGTGCGAAGTGCCTGAGAGCGATAGTAACGGAGTGCACGGCGCTCCCGAGGCTGCACCCATCTGCAAGAAAAGCAACACATTCAATTAGGGAAACCAAGTGGAAAGTCTGTAAGTGCATGTGGCAAAAAAAAAAAAAAAGAAAAAAAAAAAGGAAGCGTGGACATGGCACGCGCACATTCACACATAAACTCCTGCACGCACAACACGCACACACACATTATCTATGGCGTTACTCAAGTGTCAGACAGTTGTGTGAAGTGTTGTGGGTAAACTTTAATCTCAAATGGAATCATAAAGCAGCTTTCAAAGTAAAATGTGATGTGAACGTTCATTCAAATGAAAAAAAAAGCAAAGAGTTTTCCCTTTATTTTGTTTTTTATTTTTGTTTTTGGCAACGTGCACAGGAGGCTGTGAAGCTTGTTGCGCAGAACAAGCTGATACACACACTCTCTCTCTCTCTGTATGTGTGTGTGTGTAAGCATGTAGTCCGAGTCGGCATTACAGTACAAGCGTTGACATCACAAGCATGATGATAAAAATGGATTTCCTCTTACCTAATTTGGTGAAAGCAACTGGTGTTGAAACGCTCCTACGCTTCCCATCGTCTGCGAGATTTGACGAATTCCCTGTGCAAGGAAAGAGTTTCCCATTGCGAAACACAATGAACTGCAGCTTGCAAGTGGAGTTATCAACAGATTGCAGCGCAGAGGAGGAGATAGGCGTACCAGCCAGCGGTAAATGGATTGAGGCGACTGCCACTGAGTTCTGCGGATGGAACAAAAAAAAGAGAGGAAAATAAAAATTAAATAATGTATCCGAGATGCGCAGGAAAGAAAAAAAAAACAAACTCCCATAGAAAAGACAGGCAAATTGCTTTCCTCTCCATGAGTGGAAGCGACCATAGACCACAAGTGACCAAGGGAATGAGAATCACGTTTGAAGCGCTCTAGTGCGCCTATTTGGTCAGGCTCCCTGCCGCAGAGGTGGAAATGGTTCTTACCATTTCAGCTTGAGGGCACATCAACACTGCAGCTTGATTTAAAGAGACAACCGGTCTGACTTTATCTTCTTTTCACCAACTATAAACAACAGAGAAAAAAAACATCCCTGGCAACATTTTTTTGGGGAAAAAAAAAAAGGGGGGAGGGGGGGTTCTGGGAGAAAGGCATGGCTTGGGAATATCAAGGTGTAGACACGCGCCATCTTTGAGTCCATGTGAGTCCAAACTGATCCTGTAAAGTTGCTTTTTATTGCTGTAACTGCAAAAAAAAAAAAAAAGAAAAGAAAAAAAAAACAAAAAAAACAACAACAATCCCCCGTGCAGCCAAAAATCCCACCAGAGCTGCATTGAAGCTCCACAATTCCTCTGATGTGTTATGACCTATGAATAATAATTTTACATACTGAACTAATAACATATGAGCAGTCAGAAGTGTCTGCCTCTCCTGTCCCAAGAGAATCTGAGCTGAAATCAGGACCCAGCCTTTTTGGAGCCTCATGATAACAGCTGCAGGAACTTTTGGCACAGCTCAGGGTTTAGTGAATGGATGCCCCTGGTGGACAGAAATGTTGCTCAAGGGTGTGTGGACTCGCCGCTCTTACAGGGCAGGCTGCACTTAACCCCGCTGAAAGATCAAGTTTAATCATAGAAAAGCTTCCAAAGTGACACAGTCAGCGTGTAAGACCCACACATATGGCCGCACATTCAACTCCATGCATCCGCTCAGCTGATTGAAACGTTCAGGCTCTTATGTGTTCAATATTTCATGAATAAAAATAGAGAAATGGAACTAGAGTGGACTTTCCGAAGGCAAATAAACAGGAGGTTCAAAAGGAAAAGGCTTCTACACACACTGCCTCTGTTGGAATGTGCTGACCTCCTGGTCAGAGACCTTCATCACAGCATGAAACACTGAAGAGCACCAGACAGATTGGCATCCTCTTTTTGTTGATTTATTAAGAAGTGATTACACGGAAGCTGCTCTTTCAAATGAACATAACAGTCGAGGCAATTAACACATTTGTGCACCGAGAACAGATTTCTAGGAAGACCCAAAAAACACAGAAGGTCCCCAAATATTTATCCGGTCACTGACCCTTAATGGCAAACGGTGTTAATGGCGAATGCAGACGATATGTCTTGATAATAAAGATAATGATCGCTTTCCAAATGAAGTCTGTTTTGTTCAGCTTTCAATCACGTCACCCTCCAGTGCGAGAGGATCAGCACTTTGAGCCTACAGGGGAGGGAAACTTCCTGGCCAAGATGAATGTGGATGCCCATAAAGTGCCCTTACAGTTAATGGGGAGCTGCTTAGTCAGACGTTCGGCCCAATCAATGTCTGGGAGACAGATGGCCAAATTTCTTAATCAAGTTAAACAAGTGCTCAGTTGTCCGTTCTTATGTTTCCAATGCCGGCTGCAGAGTTGTAGTGTTTGTTAACGTGTGGGTCCCCCTGAGCGCTGACGGGCTTTGTGGCCCCTCAGACGCTGCAGTCTGGGTTGTTTTGATGCTCCTGGTCCTTCTATTATCCTGAAAACAATTCTACAGATGTGACAAAGAGCAACGGCGTGCTTAAGCACAATTACTTTACATTACAGCCACCAAATGTGAGGAGCCGGAGGTGATTCTACAGCATCGGGTTTGTTGGCTATTAGTTTCTGTATTGACTCACTCTTGAAAGACTATTGATTTTCATCCTGCGGTGAAGTCTTGCCTTGAAAATGATGTTGCATCATTTCCTTTCTCTGAACGGCCAAAGCTTGGCAGTCTGTTGCCAAGACGTCACAGGATACAGACATCAGAGACGGAGTCAGAGAGGATTTGAACCTTCTTGACAATCGGGAGAGTTAAAACACGGGTCTAGCACGCTATCCGAGGGGGTCCTTTCTCATACGGCCAGCGCGTATGCCAGGTGACCTCCATCCCCGGGGGGTGGGTGGGTGTGGGGGGGATGGGGGGTGTTTTCAAAGTGTACAACTCACAAAAAGAAATCTTATCTCATATACTTGTCTCCTCATCTCTTTCTACATCTTTTATCCTCTTTTATGTGGCGTATCAAAGGGATTTGCAGCCCAGAGGGTGTGCTATAAGCCACGGTGTGTGCAAGGTCTCGTTCTAAGCTACAATCTATGTTCCTCCTGAGCAACCTAAACAGCTACATTTCCTCAACCCCAACACCACCGGGGACCTCACACTTCAGAGTTGATTTAGCTGGATGTACCTCAGCCGTCTGACCTTCCTCCAAGCCCCTCCCTCTCCATCGGGGCAGCATGCTGTAACCTTAGTAACCATAATCGCGCACTCCCCTCCATCTCTCGCTCCAGCCTGGTGATCATTCTCCTTTTCCTTTTTTTTTTTCTTTTTTTCCTTCATTTATTCCTGTCCTTACAGAGGGCATCCAGGTGAATGTCAGCAGTCACCTCCTATTTCAGGCTGTTCCCTCTCATCCGCCTTCCCTCCCTCCGTCCTCCTCCACCTGCTCCTTGATGCACAGCCCTGCGTGATAGAAGCATAAAACTGCTAAACAGCCTGCAGGGCAAAACGCAACAGCCGTGTTTGACCCGGGGCAGCCACCAAATCACAGCGTAAACATCATGCTTAAACATGGCTCCTTGATTTCACAGGGGGATTACTGCCGAATGCGTTTAGACAAAGGTGAAAATTAAGAGCACCAGTGTATGTGTGCGTGCGTGTGTGTTTTTATTGTATAATCCAAAATTAGAAAAAGCTACAGCTCTGTGCCTTTGTAGATATATCTGTGGGTGAGATAAATTTATTTATTTGCGCAGGCGGCAACTTGGAAATTAACTATGAATGAAATGAATTTAGCTCAAAGGGCAGCTTGGTGAGCTCGGCCCCAGCCGAGAAGAACTGCTGACGAGCATGATGGGAGATTTGCATAATTCTTTTTTGTCATCACTGGCAGTCCTGTCAGCGCAGACGTGGTCAAAGACACAATGACCATGACAAATAGGTAGACATCAGGAGACTTCAGGGGGTCGTTCCTACCCATGATGCTTTAGAGCCTGAAAATAAATCAGTTTGCCCACAAGTAACATTTAGCAAGAGCTTAAACACACGCCCCTGCTGGAGCTGCCAGAGAGGTTTCAACATATTTGCGTTGCCTGACATGAAAATACTGACAAAGGACACGTCATTCTGCAGAAGCGATCGCCACGGTTTGAAGCTTAAAAGGCATTTTCCTCTTGAGCATTACCATGCTGTAGTGTTGTTAGCATTACTTATCAAGAGAAATTAAACAGTCCTACATGGTTGCCATGCCAACAAGAGTCTGTTTCCTCCAGAAGGGTTGTGTTAGTTGGGGTGGGGCGACCGTTTGAGCAGATTTGAAGCAGGAATTCAGGCTCTTTGGAGAGGCAGAGCTGCACTTCAGCTGTCAGCTACACTCTCCTCAGTCAGCTTTGACTCAAACTGTCACATCACAGGGTGGTTTCCTCAACAAAAACATTCAAGAGGCTGCAACAGATGGACAGCATTGTTAGATTAAAAAGGCATTGTGGATTAGAAATTAATGAATTCATTGTGTGTAAAAGCATAACTAATATATTAGCTGCAGGGTGATTGATAATGAGCCAAAAGGAGCTAAGTCTGAGAGAGAACAGATCCTAGAAGGGAAATTCACCGATTTTCAGCAGTAATTAATGCTAATATACGACTCTCTCTGCAGAACCTCATCCGCCATTTTCAGCTTCCTCCATTTACAGAAATGTATGAGAAGAGTTTGTCTCATTAGTCTCCTGATGCCACATCAACGTAGCCTACATCCCCATTGTTAGTGAAGCAAAGGCGACTGTGACTCGGTACAGAACATCTCCTGAAAGAACATATTTTCATGCAGCACTGTAATGATGAGAAACAATTTGGACACACAAAAAAATATATTTTTCCATTTGTCTGAGACAGCTCCCGTTTATACTTAAAGAGTAAATTCACCCAAATCAAAACACGACATATTGTAACTTACTTCAACACTGTATCAGACCACGCACTTTCTGTTTCATGTACAGATATATATATATACATATATATATCTATATCTATATATATATATATATATCTATATGAAACTTGAGATGCAACAAGTGGATAGAAAGTAGTTCAACTGAAAACTGTTCAGAGTGAGCTCTGTGAATTCATCCACAGTGAAAGGAACACAGTATATGGAAAGCTTCCTTAAAGCCAGACAGAATGTTGGTATTCTGAAAAACATTGTGTTAAATGTTTTTTTTCTTTTTACGTCCAATGTGAGCATTTTTAAGATAAAAGATCATGCAATATCTGTACATGACAATTATAATCCGAGACCTTTTTGGAGGAAGCAGAGATAAGACAAGCAACTGCTAATGGCCCCGGACAGCCACAGGAGAGTCCACGGGCCCCTGCAGCAGCAGGGGGCTGCTGCCCTGCTTTCACCGCTGATTAACCTCTAGAACTTTCTTTCAACCAACATGGAACAACATATCAAGATGGGATTAATAAGGAAAGGGAATCCAACATCACTTTTGGACAGACGGAACCAAGGGTAGACCTGTCACCCATAGACGAATGTGTTTAGAGAAAAACACTGTTTGGTGTCATTGTAGTCACCTGGGCATCAGGACAACACATCTGTATTCAATGTAATTATTTCATAACAAACTATAGTTATTTAGGAAGTTCTCTTGAGAGTGAGACGTCACATCTGACCGCTACTGGACAACGTGCCCAGATGGGGGTGGGGTGGGGTGGGGTGGGGGGGGGC